TTCACAAGAAGTCGAAAATATCACTTCTTACCAAAAATGACAAAAATATTCACCAAAATTAGAGAATTAAAGATATCATTACAAAATGAACAAATGTGAGAGAGGTCAACCTGTAGTACCTATATATGTAATATCAAAGCAATTGGACTTGCGGTTTTCAACAAGAAGTCGAAAATATCACTTTTTACCAAAAATGACAAAAATATTCACCAAAATTAGAGAATTAAAGATATCATTACAAAATGAACAAAACTGAGAGAGGTCCACATGTAGTACCTATATATGTAATATCAACGCAATTGGACTTGCGGTTTTTAACAAGAAGTTGAAAATATCACTTTTTACCAAAAATGACAAAAATATTCACCAAAATTAGAGAATTGAAGATATCATCATGAAATGAACAAATCTGAGAGAGGTCTACCCAAGGTACATATACACCAAGTATCAAAGCATTCAGGCTTATAGTTTTCAAGAAGAAGTCAAAAAAGTAAAACATTGACACAGACGACGGCAGACAATCACAAATTCGACAGCGAAGCTAAAAATAGAGAATTTGAGATTTTACATGAAATGAACAAATCTGAGAAAGAACCATCCAAGGTACTTGCATATCAAATTTGAAAACATTCTGACTTGTGGTTTCAAAGAAGAAGTTGAAATTGTAAAGTTGACGATGACGAATGACAACAGTGTCGATTTCACTTGAATTGAATTCCTATTTATGCAACATGTTTTTTTAAAACATGGTCACGAATTTTTTATAGTATATCAACAGCAAAGCTTAGTATCCACTAAATGCCAACAATAATGATGTTTTTAAAACTAAGTAGACAAACTGCACATTGTCATTTAGGTTTTGAGCTTTGTTTGATGTTAAAGTGAGTGTCAAAGCAAGTACACGCTGAAAAGAACAAGAACTATCTTCATGCTTATTGTGTATAATATCGTAACTTACTTGAGTATCATATTCTGTAGACGTGCTTTCTTGGATTGCTCTTCTGAAACAGATTCAATAAGGGAATCATATGTCTGCTCCTCATGAATTTCACATAAGGCATTATAGATGACATCTTCTAGGAACAGTCTGAAAATATATATAATAGGTACTATTACAGTTTTATTAGAGTGATGTTCATTCATTACAAACTCAGTTCTACCAGCCATGACATAACACTATGGGAATAAACTCCAAATAAAAGCATATTACATACCTATCAGCTTGTGTCTTCTGTAAATTATCTGCAGTTAAAGGACTCTGTTTTAAACCTTTGGTAAAATTCTGTGTTGTACTTCTTATACCAGCAACTACACCTTCAATCTCAGTGACATTTTCCTGTAACTTGTCAATGTTGGCTTTACTACCACCCCTCAGCTCTTTTCTCTTTCCTATCAGTGTTTCATATCTATTTCCAAGCTGCTTCTGGCTGTCAATTATTCTACTGATATCATCACCAACTATCTAGATGGATGTCAATAGAACATAATTACTGTTAACAACAGAGAAATTATACAGAATGACACAGGAATCTTAGCTTGTTGAGTTGATCTACTGGTTATAAACTCATAATCATAGTAACATGTATTATATATACTAGTATAGTATTGGGATATATTTATTTGACACAGTTTGTCAGGCCAATTTGTATATTGAAAATTGTACATCAAGTAAATTCTTATTTATAGTTTGTAAGCATACAGTACATGCATCATACAAGAGAATGGCCATTTTAACTATGGGAGAGGACATGTATACAGAATACAATAATCTATAGCTATAGAAACATGTTACGAACATGTCAATTCATTTGCAGCACTTTCGATATGTTTTATTCAAAAGTCAAAAACCTGTTATTTTTGACACAAGAAAACACACCTTAC